CCCCCCCCCCCCCCTACTGTGTATGCGTGCGCGCGCGTTCGACGTTGGCTGCAAGAATTTACAATAAAAAATAGGGATTTCCGTTTAAAATTATTACTGTGACTTTGATGTGATATTTCCAAGGTCGTTCAAGATCATACCAATATCACCACATGATGGATAATTCGATACCCTACAACTTTTCTCTGAAACATTTTTTTCTAAAATGCTTAGTTTTTGAAATATTTAATCGTCTCGGAACTTTTAACACATTCTGTATATGTATAAGGGTGTTTTATAATATCCGTGCCAACATTTGTATGCGAGTAGAGTGCAGTAAACTGAATAGAAAAGTTCTTTACCGTTTTGTAATTTTTGCAATAATAATTGAGATATTAATTAAAAAGGATGGATGAATAATCGCGCGTCGCGCGCAGCTAGACCAGTGATTATTCGTTAATCTTTTTTAATTAATATCTCAATTATTATTGCGAAAATTGCAAAACGGTAAAGGACTTTTCTATTCAGTTTACCGCATTCTACCCGCACACGAGCGTTGGCACGGACATTATAAAACACCCTGTATACAGGGTGTTCCTAAAATTTTGACAAAGCGCTCGCGTGCAGATAGAACGCATTAAACTGAATCGAAAAGTCTTGTACTATTTTGCAATTTTCGTAACAGTTAACGAGTTATTAATTACTAAATATCGTCGAATAAGCGCATATCCGCCCAGCCTACCACCGAATGCAAGCGCGCGGCGAGATACAATCGCCCAGCAATCATAATCGCTAGGCGCGCGGAGAGTTGTTTACTACAAGCGGCAAAATCCGCTCTGAGATATTGTCTCCCGTTTTTTTATTGTATAATGCCAAGACCAGTCGGGCAGTGATAAATATTTGTTAATTTATCGCTTTGACAAGGCAATATAAATAGATATATAAATATATACAGGGTGTCCCAGACTTACTGTATCAGCCGTTAATGGCAGACTCCTGAGATTATTCTAAGACGAAAATCCAAATGCCAAAATGTCGAGGCTGTTGTAAATTTTGAACGGGAAAGGTTCGAAGTTTACCAATCACATAGTCGCAATTTTGCGCGTTCAGGGACATCGCATGTTGAAGGGGCCCCATATACAGGGTATCTGGCAATAATTGCCCCAACGGTCATATACAGGTAGAGGAGGTCAATCACGTCCTTCTCGCCGCGCGCGCTTTACTCGCGCGGATTCGCCGATCTTTTTTCCTTAATTACTCACAGTACTTATTACACAGCACTTACAGTACTTATTACGAAAATAAAAAAATGGTAAAGGACTTTTCTACTCGGTTTGACCTTCTCTACCTGTATATGACCGGTGGGGTGATTATTGCCAGACACCCTGTATAACGCGTAACACACGGCCCGATATAACGAAATCTCACTTTATCCCATTGCACTATATCGTATATTTGTATATCACGTTTGCACGACCGATGAATAATCTCGGGACACCCTGTATATGTATATATAGTTTGTAGGTTAGTGCGTATCTAGAAAAGAAGTTTAAAGTTAATTTAAAGATGATCAAATTTACTTTATCTGAAAAAAAATAGTTTACTCTCCTTTTTGGGGCAATGCCGATCGATTTTGAACAGGTAATTCCGAATGTTTGCAATTACCCCAAAATTGATGAATAAGTATAGGCATCTATAAAATTTATTTTTATAGATACCACGAACGTATAAACGTAAAACAGAAACAAAGTATACTTCGGAGAACTTGATAAGAACTATTGATGATGTGAAGAACAAAAGATTAACATTAGAGAAAGCTGCTTGTTTCTATTCAATCTTTAAAACAACAATATTTAACCTCATGAAAAAAGCTGTAATTCCTCAATCAAAAGGTAGAGGAAAACATGTATTATCCGTTGAACAAGAAAACGAATTAGAAGACTATATTGTAAAATGTAGCAAGTTGTTTTATGGACTTACAATAAAAACTGTTCGAAAAATTGCATTCAGATTCGCATAAATAAATTACCACATAATTTTAATAAAACCACACGAATGACCAGCAAAGACTAGTATTATAATTTTATAAACATCCGTACATGAAATAAACATTGTATAAAAAAATATGAGAATCCACCTAAGTACTAGATCATGTGCTATGGTTGTAATTTATGGGCACATAAAAAGTGTAACGGTGACAAGAGTATTTCTAAAGGTTATTTATGTGATTTTTGCAGAGATAAGTCTTAATTCATAATTACCCTTCTATGTTCGTGATTACCCCCAGTGAGGAAATCGCGAACACTAAGTGTTTTGTTTTTTATTTAAAAGTTAATTTTATTTTGAAATTTTATCAAAGTTGATTTTATTAAATTAAAGATTATAACAATAACTAATGTTAAAAAATTCTTTTTATTACGTTCTTCTTTTTGGTTTTATTTAACTTTTTACTAAAGTGTTCGTAATTCCTATATATATTTTTTTTTATTTTACACACATATACTCCCACACACAGTGTGTATGTATTATATATATACATACACATATATTTTGGAAGAAAAAAGTTTGAAAAGCATCTTTTCGCGTCGAGAAAAAATTCACAGAATAGCCATGTGTGGGTTGATAGTGTAATTGGCGAGATTACGTAGGGGCAGACGACATAATCCTCGCGATGGTAAATGAGAATCAGAGCAATCTGTTTTCCAGGTCTCGCTCGGAAAAATACCACTTGCTTTAACAAAGCTTTCAAATCACGTAGGCATTTAGGATAAGAAAATCTGGATTGCATTACTATTGTAAGCGAACTCATTTGAAGTTGGATTATGCGCGGCCTGAGATAAATGGTTATTTTGAACGAAGCTTCAGGTTTCGAATGAGGAAACATCATTAATGCGAAATCCTTACCATTGTGCCAGAGATTTTCCTGTACCGGCGCTTCTATGGAAACGTTCATTCCCCGAGTTTTTGTAACGCGCGCACTATTATCGCTTTGAGACGATCTGACTGCCTTCCTACTTGACAATGATGGGTATGCTGGAAATAAAAGATCGCGGAAAATATCAGAGATTAAATCTAACAAAATTACAGAAAATAGAAAAATTTTATACATTTAATGCATTTTTCTTACCTACAGTCGCGTCTCCTTGGCCGATCACTGGATTATTTTTACTAGTTTCCTTTCTAATGTTTTCGGATAATCGCCGCAGTCTAGATTTTGACCTACAAAACGTTATCGGCGCGACAAAAATAGTTAGTATACGAAATATGCAGATATATTGCATGATAACTACACTCTAAATATTCATTGCGTTTTAAAACGAAGTTAGGGAGCGAGCCTCTGGCTCAGTATTAACTGTAACAAGAGACAAAGAAGGTTTTAATACGGACAGTCCGAAAGTTAAATTCTTTGATGTATTCTGAATTTCGTTAAAATTGCTATTATTCACCGGTCTAGGTTACATAATGCGTAAAAAAAGCCATTAAGAGCGTACTTTAATAATGTAACACCATCTCGTGTGTGAAACAACAATTGCTGGCTGTTCTCACATAAATGTGCTTACATGTTTTTATGCTTTCGATGCTTTTCGTCTATCATCGCGTAAAGTTTATTTCTGTATTCATCGACGGAAAGCTGCACATCATCACTCAACAACGGCACGACGCTGGAACTTCTCTCCGGTTCATTTCCCCTTCGGTGAAAGCTGCCGAAAAAAAGGGTAGTCTAATTAAATTGCCGTCAAAGAGCTACCTATATCACACGTTAACTTATCTCAATTATAAAGGACTGTTTCATAGAGATTTCGCGTAAGTTTTTCTCTGCGTTAAAAAAAACAAAGAAAAATAACGATCCACATTACGATGTAGACTGGCATATAAAACGCGGACTTTTTGTGGAAAAAAGCTCGACTTATTTCGAGATCAGCGAAATTCTTTCTTATAAGTGTCCGTAGAGGAAGGTTGGAAGAAAGAGATGCGTTTCCAACTCGTTGGAAACTCGTCACTTCAACTTTTTGCCACCTCGCGATATTGGAAATCGATATGTGCAGTATGTGACTGCCACAAATATGATTCTCTAATAAAGGATTTCTCGTTGACTGTATGAGCTACCAGCTTCACGTTATAAATTGTCGAGAAAAATAATAAATACGAATCAAACGTGCGCGCGCGGGGCATGAGGCAGAATAATACGTTCCTTTAAATTTTTATTACGATATAAAAGCCTATTTGAAATTTTGTACATCAAGATGATGATTTATGGTTTATGGATGCGCGTATATAAATAATAGATTGCAAACATTCATGCTTTGAAGATTACAAATTTAATTTTGCAGAATAAGTTTTTGTTTCTTTAAATTATGACAAATACACTCACTCGGCGACGTATGGATGCTCCAACGCTTTGATAGCGGTAAGTCGTTGCGTGGGATTAAAAACTATTAAATTGCTAATCAGATCCAATGCTTTCTCCGACACATTTGGTAGCAGATCTTTTAGAATCTGTTTGGGTCCAGTGGGTGTCTTTTCCAATAAATTAGTTCCGTAACCAGCACTAACAGATAATAAATCTGAAAGATTAGTGGGAAAGCTTCCGATAATTTTTCTTTTTTTTTCTCTTTACTTTTTATTATCGAAACAGTTTCGAGAAAGATTACCTTCGTCTGTCGGTGGTGGCAGGGTCGCCATAATTCTTTCGACTTGGTTTATTGTCGACGAACCGGGAAAGAGTGGCTTTCCGAGTAGCATTTCGCCGAGAATACAGCCTAAGGACCACATATCTATTCCTTTTGTGTATCTACAAACATTTATATAATACATAAACTCCGATTCTCGCAATGATCCGAATTTCGTAGATTCTAGAAAATAACATGTCTTCGTGTTTGTAATATAAAAATGTGAAAGAAACACACTGAAATATATATTGTAATAATGTTGAACTAAACCGCAAATTTTTTATTATAAATAAATTTATTTGTACTTAAATTAATAGTATCATGACGTTCTTACAGAGCATAAGAACTTTTTGTAGGAAAATTTTGAAAATAATGCAAGTGGTTTTCTTTTCAACACACCCCGAGCCGAACTCAACTATACATTACCTTATTATCCCTTGAAGTATTTTAAATGATATACCAAGATCAATTTCTTAGTTGAGAACTTTCGGTAATACCTGAAGCTTAATAGCATACTCATAAGCTTAAACTGCATGCGTTAAGACCAACTAGATTGAAAACTCTGTAAGCTAAGCCCTCTATACATAGTTGTAAATATATTCATCATTACTTTGAATATATATGTGTATATACATATATACATATTCTCACATCTTGTTAGCTTAGAATTTTTTAATTTAAATTAATCCTTTTGGAATGATAATGACAAAATGCAAGGTAATTGCAGTTAGTTAAATAGAAACTAACGTACACGAATTTTTGTATAACAATGTATTACTGATAAACAAATATTTTAAAAGTTCTTACATGTGTGAAAAAAAAACAAATATTTCAAGAATAAACAAAAATATCTCAGTTTTAAGATTTTAACATTTGTAGATGTCAAATTCAAAAGATCATAAAGTCGTCAGAAAATAAATACGTCAAGGAAAATGTGTAAGCTAAATAAACGTTTACCTCTTTGAAGCTATGAGAATCTCTGGTGCGCGATACCACCGGGTTGCGACGTAATCCGTCAAGGTTGGATCACTTCCAGTCTCACCATCGCCCTCACCGATTTGCGTTACCGAGCGCGCCAGTCCGAAATCTGCGATCTTGCAATGGCATTGCGCATTCAGGAGTACGTTGGATGGCTGCAATAAAAGGATAGTGCAAACTCGACACAATGAGACGGTTTATTTCTCTGTGGTAACACAACAAAATAAAAACTCGACAAAAAAATACAAGTACAAGAAGAAAATATTTTATGAGAGATGCGAGCTACTCTTTTCTGAACATTTCAAAAATATGAAAGGAGTATCTTATGTATAATTCATTAAAAAATTTGCATAAAATTAAAATTACATGAGGCAAAATTAGAAATTTTCTAAAGACGTTTCTCTTCAGAATTCCGAAATTTAGGATAAATAAAAAAGCGAAGTAGAGTTATACTGCTTACGCTTTTTACAACTCGTTAAAAAATTTACATAAAATTTAAGTTTATGAAATATAAAATTTCTACATTTCTTTTTTCAGAATTCAGATAATTTTAAAAGAAATAAAAAAACTTTTTACATCATTGGATTGTAAGACCCAACATTACCTTCAAATCTCTGTGGATAACATTGCCCGAGTGTATGTACTTGATTGCCTTAAAAAGTTGGTATATGATGAAGACCTTGTGGATGTCCTTGAGGATGTTGCCCCGCTTAATGATGTTGTGAAGATCGGTTTCTGGAGAAACGGGCCGAAACATGTTTCAGGCCAAAAGTCTGAGAATCGGCGCATGTGATATGACCTTCGTATGTGAATTCTTCTTCGAACCGGGTAAAACTCACCCATGTACTCGAAAACGAGATAAATGTCCCGATCGTTGTCCGCCTTGTGCAGTCCGATGAGTTTTATGATGTTCTCGTGATTGGCAAACGACAGTAGAAACATAATCTCGCGGAACGTACGTTGCGCATCTGTCTGATTTCTGAAGGCATCAAAGATTTTTTTCACCGCAATGATATCCTTCCTTTTCTTCTCGATCGCCTTCCATACTATTCCATACGCCTGTGTAAAATAATTAAATATTATTATTATCACAGAAAATTTATAAAAAAAAATAAGAAATTTTTTTGCCTGTATATTCTAGTAGAAGATTTCCTTAATAAGTATTTTATAGGAAATAACATTTGTAACATGTTATTTGCATGCAGTGAAATGCATATTAAAGCGTATAAATATTAAATTGGCAAGAAAATTCTTTCCCTTTCAGTAGGCCGTTTGATCTACAGCCTGAGTAAGAAAGAACTTTGTTGTCAACCTCATATAATACATAATTATTCTTGATACCCGAGAAAAAATGGTATAATATGGTCAGATGTAAATACACTGCTCAAAAAAATTATGGCATAGAAAAATTTGGGACAAAAATTGGCCAACTTTGACTGTGACGATAATTCCGCGAAAAATCATCATAGAAACATGATTTTTTTTTAATTTAAAGCCTGAAATCTCTACTTTAAGATACTTAAGATATAACTCGATTTTAAGTTTCATGAACCCCTACTACTGTAATCCCTTAAATCTGAGGCATGTTTGTCATATTAAAAATTGCAAAGTTTGACGAAATGCACGGACTTGCTAAAATTTCTTTTTTGGATGCCGTTTGCAATGGTGTAAAGCTTGAACCTTCCTCTTTAATTAAAAAAAAAAACAAGTTACTGCGATTTTTTTCGCAAAGTTACAGCACTTTAAAGTAACCCTTGCATTTTTGATATAAAATTACATATGTTATCAGATCTTTTCATAACTAATTATATATATTTACATCTGACCAATTATATCATTTTTTCTCTGGTAAACATATTTTTCATCCTCTCATATGTTTCATATTTTATTGTAATAATCAAAATTATTTGTTTATCAAATAATGATTATTCCTCAAAATACGAGTATGAGCTCGATATGAACTTAATAAACATTGCATCGTCCTCATTTGCGTTATTACGATATAACCGAGACTATCTTGTGTAATCTATACCATTAGATTTAAATTACGTTGGTCGATATATAAGCAGATAATAAAAATCGGTTTGCGATACCATGATACGTTTGTTATCGTTGCGACGGAGACGGCTTTTAACAACATCGATTGTCTCCAACTTTACCTTTCCTAATAAGGTAGTCATGATGATTACTGATCCTTGAAAATTTCAAAACTTTGATGGAATTTTTTCTTGTTGTTTGCCACCCATGTACATATTAATATTTTTTTTAAATAATAATGTAAAAATATTTTAAAAAATCAATACATACAAAAATAGATTAATAAATAAAAATAAATTAATTCATAAAAAATTACATAAAGAAATTATAGATAATTATATAATATTATATATATATATACGTAATTATATATAATTAATAAAAATATTTTGATGTAATAAGAAAAAATACTGATATGTAAAATTTTGTACTAATATCTAAAATTTCAATAAAAAGACAGACATCAAATTATATATTGCTTTTACTATTAATTCGAAAATTACATCAAAATACACACTTTCCAACTTAAGGGGATCCTAAAGTGGTCTGTTTTACCTATTTTTTTCAAATACACTTAACTTTTTTTGGCTGTGTAGAATGAAAAGTCCTTTTCTGTAAGTAAAGTACATATGCTAATACACTACGGATGGTCGATTTGAAAAGATTTTTCAAGCCACGCAGCCAAAAAAAACAAATTTTACGAAAAATAAGGTAAAACAGAGACGTATTTGTTTTACTTTCTACTTTTTGTAAAATTCGTAATATCTCTCTGCAATTTGCATATTAAAAAATAACGCAATATAACATCTAAATGAAATGTAATGTAGCTTCCGACATGGTCAAGATTATATATAATTTATATAAGTACATTTTATATCAATCTGCATGTTTTGCTGGCAAAAAAAATATAAAATTAGCAACCGCTTGTCAAAAGAAATTCTCGAAGATGCGTAAAAAATTTAGAAGAATATCTCCAGAGACAAGAAAACTAAAAGGGAGATAACATTACCCCTTTACCGAGGCGTCGTATGATGTCGTATTGTTTGCTGATGTGCGCGTCAATCTCGGAGATTTTCTCGGCAGCCTTCTTTCCTGACATCATCGACAATAACAACGGCGACGACGACCGAACTTAAAAGTTGTCGAAGACACGGTTCTAGGACGAGAAACTTTCATACGAGAAAAAACGATTCAGGCGAAGAAAATACGGAAAGAAATGCGGGCCACCGCGGTGCATTCACATCTTTACACATCGGACAGATGGGATCCGATTCGAACTTTTTTATATGCGACCCATGACACAATGCGTATCTGTGTTTATAGAATTGATGCCAGTTGCCGAGGCGACCGTGTCCATGGTTGCCATATTGCATGTCAAACGATACGCCATAATCACCCGACAAAAGCTGCGGAATTAGTAATACGAAGCAGATCTGACAATAAAAGAACCCTTTTTCACTTTAAACAAAATGAGCGTAACTTTTAACACAAAGAAAAATATAAAAATGCAAACAATTGTAAAAAATATGAAATATAAAAAAGCAAATAACTGACAACACACAACACAAATAGATCTCACAATAAACAAATAAAGTAACATTTATTTCAATTTAAGAAACTAAATAAAATAAATACTTTTATTTTTAATATTGTTTATTATTTCACAATTATAAATTTTTATCTTAAATATAAATATTTATTTTTATTTCTTTTCATAATTCTTGATAAATCAAAACTGAGAGAAATGTGCATCAGAAATAAATATATTTTCTAAAGATATACGTAAAGTACACATTTTAATTTATTTCTTTTTAAAATACATTTATTATTAGTGTGTATTTATTTATTTTATCACTTTTTCGTTTTTTATTGTCAAAATTGATTTTAATTTACAATATTTGTTACATAACTTTTCTGCAATAAATTAAATCCGTAATTAATTTTTTTATTAAACTGCAAATTTTTAATTTTATCTAGGCCATACAAGTGCGTACCGTTTGCCATTTTTCTGCTGCTTTTTGTATAATAATAAAGAAACAAGCTGTCAAACAGCTACCAAAGTAAAGCTGTCAAACGCCAATCATCTCGATGACAATCGATCGGTAATAAACAAAAGGTTTGTTCGCGTTGCATGCTCCAACCATGGCTGTGGGTGTTTACGATAATTCAAGTTCGAGTTAGTTTTACTAGGGCCGAAAAATGAGATAGACATAACCATCTAGAACTTTTATGATTCATGACAACTCGACGCTGCCTTGTACTGCTTGAGTTAAATTCATTGAATTTATTGAGCAAATTTTATTGTAATGAAAAATGTCATTTATTATTATTATTAATTATATTATTATTAATTTATTAAAGAGTTATACCAACATACATACCAACATTATTTGTTTCTTTCATAGACTAATTTGCAGTTGACATTTTTCTATTACAATAAAATTTGCTCAATAAACTCAACAAATTCAATGAATTTAATAGCGTTTTCGATTATACAGGATTTGAACGACAC